CCTCAGCCTTCCGAGTAGCCGGAATTACAGGCGCGTGCTACCACGCCCGGTTGATTTTTTTTTTTTGAGAAGATAAGGTCTCGCCAAGTTGCCCAGGCGGGTCTCGAACCTGCGGGCTCAGGCAAACCACTCACCTCAACCTCCCAAAGCGCAGGATTACAGGCTGAGCCACCGAGCCCGGCTTAGGCTACTCTTATATTTCACTAAAGTTTAGCAGACAGTTTTAAATTTCATATATTTCTCCTATGTGTAGGGTCACACCAGTCTGGGAATGTATATCATGCTCAATATCAGGTTGTTTGAAATATACTCATGCTCCGTGAATATGTAAGCCAATATGAAGACTGGATTTTCATTGGAGTAAATTCTCTTGATTATTTGACTAGGTACAAGTCTTTTTTTTTTTTAGATTGGAAAATATGGTTTATTTAGAAAGTAAATTAGAAAGAGAAAGAGGAGATTCACCTCCCCAAGGTAGGGGAGGGGGCCAAAGCCAGGAAGCATAGCAACAGCCATAGCTCAAAGACCACGTGGTCACACCAGAGTCTAGCAAGACAATGGAGGCGATGTTCTAGCAATGGCCAACAAGTCTTAAACTGTGTCATTTTCCTGGGGTATTATCTTCTCATAGATTCCCACATTTGAACAATTTGTATGCACATGACAAATATTTTGGGCCAGCAACAACCTATGACAGTCACTTTTAAATAAAGTGTTATATTTATTTTAGAAATTAGGAAACTAGGTTGGGTGCGGTGGCTTAACCTGCAATCCCAGCATTTTGGGAGGCCAAGGCGAGAGGATTGCCTGAGCCCAGGGGTTTGAGACCAGCCTGGGCAAGTTGGTGAAACTTGAGTCTCTACAATAAATCACAAAAACTAGCAGGGCATGGTGGTGGGTGTAGTTCCAGCTGCTTGGAAGGCTGAGGTGAAAGGATTGCCTAAGCCCAGCAGGTTGAGGCTGTGGTGACTGTGAGCATGCCACTGCACTCTAGCCTGGGTGACAAGAGTGAGACTCTGACTCAAAAAAAAAAAAAAAGAGAAACTACAGCTTCAGAAGGTGGTTTAACAATTTTCCCAGGAATGCACAGCTAGCTGGTAGTAGTTTAGAGGCCATGCAAATGATTACCCTCCAAATCTTGTGCTTTATACCACTCTGTTAGTTGATTTCTAACTCATCTTTTTCAAAAGAACTGTTGAAACATTTTTATTAATGAATCATTTAGATGGCTCTAAGGGACAGTTTAAGTTTGCTCAAGTGAATTAAGACTTTCCCCTTTAAAACCTACTCTTAGAGATAACACTCCTGTCCCAGTGAGATGTCAGACCTTCCTGTATACCTAAGTGACAGTGGCCATTTCTGAGATATTGAATGTTTTCTACATTGCATTCAAATGTGAGTATGCCTTCTCCAGTTCTTGAAATGCCTTTCACTTCAATTTTGTGCTCTCCTAGGTTGTTTCTGAGGATACTCTCCTTATTGAAACTGAGATATATTTTACCCCAAGGAATATGAACTGTGACCGTCAGAAATTTCCTTTGGAGTGTTCTGTTTCTAGGTGAGTCCAGCCAACCTGATTCCTTTGGGACACTTTAGCTTTACCTTACCAGAATCTTTGGCAGCTACTTAGGTTATAGAGACCATAACATGACTCACTTATCATTCCAAACAAACCTAAATTAGCATTTACAAAAATATGTTAATGAATATTTTTAATTAAAAAACATTTAAATGTAATATTTAGATTAGAATCAAAACATATACTGCTAGGCACAGTGTGGTGCATGCCTGTAGTCCCAGATGTTTGTACTAAGTTTGGCATCAATCTGGTGACCTTTTGGGAGCAGGAGACCACCAGGTTGCTTAAGGAGGGATAAACCAACCCAGGCTGGAAATGGAGTGAGTCAAAACTTCTATGCTGATCAGTGGTGAGATCATGCCTGTGAATAGCCACTGTATTTTAGCCTGGGTAACATAGTGAATCACTGTCTCTATAAATAAATAAATAAAATAAATATAGAACAACAAACCAACCAGCCAAAAAAAAAAAAAAAAAAGCATATAGAGTTGGAATGGTCCTAACAGAAATTCTAGTGTACCTAGGTTATTTTAGAGCAACTCAACAACAAAAGAGTCATTAAATACTCAGTCACCTTCAATAAGCATAGATATTATCTTTTGATGGTTTCTCTTTCATAAGACTCTTCTTCTGGTACATTTTATTGTTCAATTCCATGTTATGACAGTCAGCAGCTAAGAAACTAAGAGAAAGCCAGTCCTTCATTTTTAATACCAACTTGTGGAGACTGCCTGAAAGGAAGAGCTTCTCAGCCTAATCATTACATGTACTTTGCTTGAAAATGTGGAACCAAGATAGTGAATCCCAAAAGGGCCCCACATGAACTTTGAGACAAAGTGACATGGTACCCTTACATACTTTTTTTTACCATGTCACCAAAATATTTACATCGAATGTTATAAATCTGAGTGGCAAATCTTAAAAATCACCTGAAACCACAGGAAAAAAAAAAATCTGTCCATATTTAATACAGAGTGTGCCAAAGGAAGGTATATGTATTTTAAGAAAGGAAAACCTATTAAAATTGTAATAGCATATGCCAATAACAAAAGATGAATACAAGTCACATTTGACTTCTACAATGACAAGAGGTGCTCAAAGTGGTTACCATCAGAGTCTAGACACTTCTGATGACAGTGAATGACTGCAGGACTTGTTCTCTCAGGCCTCCTGGATCTTCCCTTGTGCATATTACACACAGCACCATGACTCTCAGACTAGTCTCGAATGCACATGTTAGGCATGTTGGACGTTCTGTTGCACACTCACGCCTCCATTGTCATTGTGCTTCCACAACGTTCTCAAATTTCAAATACCACTTCAAATACTGTTCGTTTCTCGAATAACAACTGTGCTTCGCCATTTTCTTTGTCCTGCCTGTTGTATGGCAATGCTAAGATTCACTTGATTAATGCCATCTTTTGAGTGAACGTCATACTGCACACCACTATTGTAATTCAATCCAACTTCAAAAAGTAATACATAAATAACATCTCTTAAAACGTGTATACATTTTTTGGCACCCCAGTATATGGAAATAGTTGACATCAAACAAAAGAATTTAGACCAAATGTACAATATATTTAACATGATCAGAGTACCTTTTTGCAGGGAGGGAGGATTTTTTTTTCCATTGTAAAATACACACAAGATAAAATACCATTTTAAATGTACAGTTTAAGTGTACACTAAGTACTTTCACATTAATACTCTTGATCTTCCATTGAACTTATTTTCATAATGGTTGAATAATTTAGTGATATTATGGGAAGTAGCTAAACTTTAAATAGGAACCAATCCTTGATTCTTCTACCCCCATCTCTCCACAAACACAGTCACACTCATACACAGTCATATATATTTTGACTTCTGTATACTACCCAATGCCTAGAGTAATATAGAGTTCTGACCTAATGCCCTAGAGCTCCTGCCTCTCCATGGGCTACCAGAGTGATAGTGATGAATATATATTCCTATGCTGATAGTTTCTATGTTGTTTGTAGCTTACCTTCCTCAAGAAAATGAATACTTGGCCAACAAAGATATCTGATTAGGATTTTGGTGCATGGATTTACTGCTGTGTTCTCTCTCTCTTTCTCTCTCTCTTCCTGTCTTTCTCTCACATTGTCTCTCACACAGACCTTTGCCACCATCACACTGGGTCAGATTAAGCTTTTGGTGGCTTTCACTTACTATTCTTATAGGATCCATTTGGCTAACTCTGCAGTCTGTTTTACTGGGTACTCTGGTATTCTACTCATGCAGGCATCACAAATCATCTAAGGTAATTCATCTTTCTATGCAGTGTTTGATTCAGAAACCATGGGAAGGCTATCTGAATCAACTTTTCTGTAAGCATATTTGCCCAAATCCTATATTAAGAGTCCACCTGACCCAGAAGGTGCAGTATGATGGCACTATGCTGCTCTCCTGAATCGCTAACCTGAAAATGATCATGATGTTAAACAATGGTAAAAATGACTTGGTCCCAAGTGTGCCAACCCTGTCTGCTTTCTGTTTCTCTTTTCTCTAGGAAATCAGTGTGGCTCACACCAGTTTCTACTGATGATGAAATAAAATTTGATCCTAGTCCTTTTATTGCTGACTTTGAGACAACATCAGAAGAGTTAGGATTATTAACTTGCAATCAAACTGGCTCCCCTCTAAAAGACAAATGGACACTTGAAGTGGTATTGTGCATTCTGTTGAAAAACAATGGCTTTTTTCCCCAGCAAAAAATAGTTGTTATACATTTCTCCTTAAATATCTGTTTTCTAAAAACTGTAATTCTGTAAAGGTCCTGATTAGTGAATGTGTTCAGATAATTTAATTCAGTAAGGGTATGGCTTAATAATATTAATTTAATTTAATTATTAGGTAATTCATATTATCCATTTAAATTTTGTTTTCTGTTCTGTATAATAATTCAGCAATTTGTCCTTCAAGATAATGATTTGATTTAATTGATATGAAGTGCCAATAAATATGCTCTAAATATTTTATCAGGAAGAATAAAGAATAGAGATAAGCATATAAATATGCCAGAGCTGAAACTTTGAGCCAAATCTAAAATTTAACATACTAATTCCCAGGAAAGTTTGTGTGAACTTGTAAAATTAATCAGTAAAGTTGAGTCCTAAAAATAATTTAATGTGACAACGTATTTAGATAATTATCACAGAAGGCAATTCAATTTATTTTCTAGAATTCAAGTAAACACTCATTTAACTGACATTTGGTGGTAGGTTTCCTTTCTCCCCAGTATGATACTTCTACACTCAAAATGATTGATCAAGGTGGTCAAGCATAGAGTTATCCTGATGCTTAAGAACAATTCATTAAATGGTTATTTATTCCCAGCTACTTTATGTCATCTTATTTTCCCTAAACAGGGAGCCTACACCTTATAATACACCAAAAATCACTTCTGATTTTGGGAGATTTACTCAATCAAGTATGAGAAATGAACTGTGCTATTGACTATTCAATTACTTATTGAGTGTACCTTTTGGATGCTGCATTCTCCTAGAAACAGACACGATTTTTTATTTTTAAAAATTAAAGTGTTACTGTTTTCTTTCTTTTTATTTTAAAGATGTGGGGAACAATTCAGGATTAGGTCTACAAATGGTCATTTTACAGGTAACGTTTGGGCCTCACGTTGATCTCCACTTCACCTGGTTTGAGATCAGGTACCCTTATTGATGAAATATGTCCCTCCCAGTAGTTTCCCACTACTGCCAATCCCTTTCTTATAGTGTTATGATATTTGTTCAGGGGCCACTTATGAGCGAGAACATGTGGTACTCAGTTCTTTGCTTTTGTGATAGAACACTGAGTATGATAGACTCTAAAACCATCCAAGTTGCTGAGAAGTTCATAATTTTGTTCTTTATGACTGCATAATAGTCCATCATGTATATGTACACATTTTTTAAAATTCAATCTACTTTGGGTATTACAGTTGGTTCCATGTTTTTGCTATTGTGAATAGTGCTGCAACAAACATGTGTACGCATGTATCTTGAGATTTGAGTTCCTCTGGGTGTATTCCCAGAAGGGGGATTGCCAGGTCATATGGTAGGAATGCTGCCTATGGCTGCTTGTGAAAAAAGAATTTGACCCCACGCCTATAATCCCAGCACTTTGGGAGGTGGAGGTGAGAGGATTGCCTGAGCCCAGGGGTTTGAGACCAGACTGGGTAACTTGGTTAGATCTCATCTCTACAATAAATAAAAAAATCAGCCAGGTGTGGTGGCATGTGCCTGTGGTTCCAGCTACTTGGAAGGCTGAGGTGGAAGGATTGCCTGAGCCCAGCAGGTTGAGGCTGTGGTAGCTGTGAGTGTGCCACTGTACTCCAGTCTGAATGAGACCTTAAATAAAAAAGAATAAAAAAAAGATTTTGGGACAAGATTGCGACGGGGCAACCTGGTCTGTGAAACCCTCTGCATAGGAGAACTGCAGTGGGTCTCTGGCTCTCGCCCCGGGGGCTGCGGACTCCAAAATCACAGCCTGCTCTTCATACAGAGCCCTGCTGTTGCCACCACTGGGGCATTGCAGCTGACTGGACAGCCACTGCAGTGCAGACACCGCCACCACAGCCGCTGCAGCCACCGCAGCTGCCGCCGGTAGCACATCGCACCACCTGGGCTGGAGGTGATTCACGATTTCAGTCCTTGAAGCCCCTTCAGGGAAGATCTGCTGGGATCGCTGCCACCTCTCCTGCAACCAGACATCCTGCCCACTGTGAGTCTCCTGCCTGTGCCCTGAGGCAGGCATCCATCTCCAGCTCGTGGGTTCCTGTCCGGCCCCACCCCCTCTGAGGCGAGCAGCTGAAATAGCACCACCTACTGGCGATTCAAAGTAACAACACCGAAACGGGAGAAACAAGCTTGAAAAGGACATAGGCCAGAGTGGTGAACGGAGGGTGATCTGAACTGTCCTTCACAGCAGACCAGGGGCAACTGCCCCTAACTGCAAACTAATTTACTTGCTTGAAAAGAAAGCTAGAAATCAGAACTGAAAGGACATTGGAATTAAACGAAAAGTCTCAGAGTGTGCTTCATTGATTCTGTTAGTTTAATGACTTAATTCTATTCCTACTGTTTGTTCCTTTTCCCCCCCTCTTCCTTTCCTTCTCTTTTCTTCTCTCTGTAAGCCATATCTTCGTATAGAGGAACAGCACACCAATAAGGTGGTTGGTTAGCTTGTATGTTAGCATCACTATATGTTTTATTTTTTTTTGTACGAGAGTTGGTTCATCAGTAGCTGTGGTCTATTGTTTTTATCTGTTTCACTATAGGTCTCTCTCTCCATTTGTTGACACAGGTTTGTTTCCCCCCTTACTCCTCTATCTCCCCACCCCCTTCTTCAAACCACTGTCTGCTCCATTCTCTTCCCTCTGCTAAACACATTGTATTTCAGGGAGTAAACCTACAGCCCTGCTGCACGGACAGATTCCAAGGAAGGGAATCTGTCCTAAACAGAGTAGCTATAAAAGTAAAAATCCTAAAGGCAGCAAGAGAAAAAGGCCAGACTACCTACCAGGGAAGATCAATTAGAATAGCAGCAGATTTATCCACAGAAACGCTTCAGGCTAGGAGAGCCTGGAGCCCTATCTTCAAAGTTCTAAAAGATAAACAATTTCAACCAAGAATAACCTACCCAGCCAAACTAAGCTTCATTAGTGAGGGAGAATTGAAATCTTTTCCAGATATCCAATCCCTAAGAACCTATGCTGCCACCAGACCACCTCTACAAGAAACACTTAAGAAAGTACTGAGCACAGAAGAAAAAGAAAAAAGAACAACAACATTCTTCACTAGAGTACAGGCAAAAGATTAAAAACACACATGAGCCAACTCCAGAAACCAAAGAAAGAAAACAAACAAACAGGAACAACTCTGTAAGAACCTTATAACAGGGATCAACTCTTGCATTTCAATTAATAGCCTAAATGTGGATGGACTAAATGCACCACTGAAAAGACATAGAATCGCAAAATGGATAAAATATCATCAGGCAACAATCTACTGCCTTCAAGAGACTCACCTCACTAGAAAGGACACCCACAGACTCAAAGTAAGAGGATGGGAAACAAACTTTCAGGTGCATGGAATACAAAAGAAAGGAGGAGTAGCGATCTAATTTCAGACAAAATACCTTTCAAACTACTAAAAATCAAAAAAGATACAGAAGGCCACTACATAATGATAAAAGGCTCAATCCATCAACAAGAAATATCTATCCTAAACACATGTGCACCCAACATAGGTGCGCCAACTTTCATAAAGCAACTTCTAGGAAAACTAAAGAAAGATATTGACTCAAACACGATCATAACTGGGGACTTTAATACCCCACTCACAACCCTAGACAGATCATCAGGACAAAAAATCAGCAATGAGATCCGGATTCTCAATGTGACTTTGGACCAAATGGACTTAATTGATACCTATAGAGCACTCTATCCAAAGACCACAGAATATACATTCTACTCATCACCTCATGGAACGTATTCTAAGATCGACCACATAATTGGCCATAAA